GAACCCATTGTGGCCCTCGAGTCAAAAAGTTTGCCCACCCCTGGTTTAATCTATGCTTTTCTGTCTCTGGATCTTTTTTTGTTCATCAGTTTATATTGTTCATTATATTCCATAAATGAGTGAGATTATTTGGTATTTATCTTTCTCTGACTGGCTTATTTAACTTAGCGTTATGCTCTACAGTTCCATCCATGCTGTTGCAAATGGTAAGAATTCCTTCTTTATTACCACAGCGTAGTATTCCATTGTGTAGATGTATCACAGTTTTTTAATTCACTCGTCTGTTGATGGGCACTTATGCTGTTTCCAAGTCTTAGCTATGGTGAATTGTGCCGGACAGCAGCGGTTCATGGGTGATGCACCCCGAAACCAGAGAGGAGGGAGCCCGATTCTTTGCGGGGCCACACAATTCCACCTTCAGCCGTGGGTTATATTGTTGCTGGGGCACTGTTGCCCCGAATCTGGTTTACTGGACGCTTATATTTGCGTTCTACACCCTATACGACAGCAACTTTGCAGAGTGCCCTTTTGTACTCCGGGACCCCTCGGGGGATGTTGGAGAGCTAGTTTCGGCTCAATCCCGGCAGGCCAGGCCAAAGGACCCCACCTGCCAGAGGGACCCCATTCACTCCACAGATGCCAGTGAGGGACCGTAGGAGGTTGGCTCCAGGGCGTGTCCGGCCCGTCTCGCCCAGTCCCACCCCACTGGTCACCTTCTAATTAATTTCATTTCAATGTGCATGAATCCGTGCACCGGGTCACTAGTCAATAATATGATTACTGAAAACAGATCTTTTTCTTTCAGTCCTTTTTTGCCTCAGCATATACCCTACTACAGAAGTAAAGTCAAATTACACTTTTTAAAAAGTTAATTGATTGATTGATTGATTGATTGATTGATTTTAAGTGCCCTTGACCAGTAATCGAACCTGCCACCCTTCCATTTGCAGACCGATGCTCTAACCACTAAACAGTGCTGGCCAGGGCCAAATTACATTTTTTAAATCCTCTTGGAATAATTCCTCTCTGTTTCATCATCTCTTTGCTAATTTGGGTAATTCATTTCATTTCACTTTCTATTCATAGCTATTCCCTTTTATTGCTATTAATTGTTTTTATTTTATTATCCTGAAATTCATTTTCTGAGTAATTAACATGATTCTGATTTCTTGCCTAAAGGACATAGAGATTACCTTATATCTTTCTTAATAATCTGATTATATGTAATAACGGGAAAAGGATAATTTTATGAAAAATCATCAAATAAAAGTAAGTCTCCATACGGTCTGTTTCTAGGTTAAATACCAATTGTATACTTTGGTATCAAACTATTACAAAATGCCTATTTTTTAAAAATATATTTTTATTGATTTCAGAGAGGGAGAGATAGAAACATCAATGATAAAGAGATAATCATTGATAAGCTGCCTTCTGCATGCTGCCTCTTGGGGATCGAGCCCACAACCTGAGCTTGTGCCCTTGACCAGAATCAAACCCGGGACCCTTCAGTCTGTAGGCTGACACTCTAGCCCGGCTGTGGGCAAACTACGGCCCGCGGGCCGAATCCGGCCCGTTCGGCTGTTCTATCCGGCCCGCGGAGCCAAAAGAGCGGAGGGTTCTCTTGCTCTCCCCTCCGCTCCTTCACCAGCAGCAGTGTTAACATGGCAACGTCGGGAAACACGGCCGCAGCTCCTTCTTCTGAGTCCAGTTTAAGAACCCATTGTGGCCCTTGAGTCAAAAAGTTTGCCCACCCCTGCTCTAGACACTGAGTCAAACCAGCTAGGGCCCTATTCTTTTTAAAAAGAATATGTTTTTATTGATTTTTAGAGAGAGAGTAAAGGAGAGGGATAGAGAAAAACAATGATGAGAGAAACATCAATCGGCTGCCTTCTGAACACCCCGTCCTGGGCATTGAGCCCGAAACCCAGGCATGTACCCTGACCAGGAATCTAACCAATGACCTGTTGGTTCATGGATCCACACTTAACCACTAAGCCACACTGGCTGGGCAAAATGCCTATTCTTCAAAATATTTTTTAAACTTATCTTTTGAAAACAGCTAATATCTGCCATATCTTAAGATATGCCATTTGTAATATTTAAAATGGAATTGGTTCCTTTATGGAAAATCTGAAACTATAATAAAAATTAAAGTAAAACCAGTTTAAAAAAAGCCAGCCCCTGGAGTTCCTTCCTCCTACTTCTGACTCTCCAGGGGGAGGAGGCCCTGACCTCAGGGCAGCTAAAGAAGGAAGGCTTTCTGCCCCTCTTCCCCCATTCTATTCCCATTTTTATTTCTACAGTGGGGCCCCTGAGAAGAACCAAACCTGGGTAGGGGAGCAGGGACCCAAGACCCTAAGGCCAGGGAAGGGAGGCTCAGGTGCCCCAGCCCCAAAGCTCCTGGCCTGTAGTGTGGACATGGGCAAGGCCCCTCCTGGCTGGGCCCAGTTGGGGTTAGAGCTATTAGTTCCAGATCTTGAGGAAGGTGTATGTAATTTTGTACTTTGTGAATAGTAGAATTATTTACTTGAGAAATAACTATTCACACTTAATATATGTTAGGCTCTGCTAAGTTCAGTTAAATAGTTGTAAACAAAATATCTATGATCTTTGCTCTTATAAACTTTAGTTTTGTGAGAGGAGATAAATGTATAATCACATCAATAAATTTTAAGTTTTAAAAATTGCTTCAAAAATAGCTGCTTAGCATAATTATTTAAGAGGTTCTTAATTTAGATTGGGAGTTTAAGTGGGAGACGGAAGAAAGTGACAGTCAAGCTGGCAGTTGAAGGATGAATAAAATTTAGTCAGGCCAAGAGAAGTGGCAGGATATTTAAAAGAATTATATTTTGAGAACATTGGCAAACCGACACTAATAAAAGACAAACATGCAAATTGACCGTACCTTTGCTATGCCTTAAGCCACACCCACCAGCCAATCAGAGTGAGTATATGCAAATTAACCCAACCAAGATGGCGGCCGGCAGCCATGGAGCTGAAGTGAGCAGATGGCTTGATTGCTCCAGTGATGGAGGAAGCCAAGCTTCCTGTCCGGCTCTGAGCTCCACTCAAAGCAACAGAGTTTCAATTATAGAAGGTAAATAAACCCCAGATACCTGCTTTCAGCCTGCCGAGGCCACTGAGCTGGAGCAGGAAGGAGGCCCCTCCTGACCGGCTCTGAGCTCCACTCCAGGCTACAAAGTTTCAATTATAGAAGGTAAATAAATCCAAGAATAAAAAAAAAAGGAGTCACCTGGGGGCGCTTGGCCAGCCTGAAAACGGCCCTCAGCCCCTCACCCAGACTGGCCAGGCACCCCAGTGGGGACCCCCCACACTAAAGGGGTGTGGCCAGCCTACAAAAAGCCA